TATATATATATATATATATATATATATACACTTATTTATTTATTTATTTCTTTATTTATCTATCTATCTATCTATTGTGAGCCTATATTATCCATATGCACACGCATCAATGGTTTACATGGCACACTAGAAGAAGAACTGGATTGGGAGCCTTGCCGAAATGTTGGAGACACACAATAACATGAGCTCCAATCAGTCGTCGGGCTGCAAGTCGCCTGTGACTCTTAGGCCTCCCATGCTGCAGATGGCAATGTAGTTTTATGCTTTATGCTGAAAGGCCTGTTGCATGGTGTGTGTTTTGAAAGGGCTGAGCGGCGACACAGTGCTGGACGACATGTGGATGTGGGACGGGGAAGAATGGTCGCAAATTCGCTACGACAAAACCACGGAACCGATGCCCGCGCGCTGCGGCCATTCAGCTTCTGCTTGGGTGCATAAGAAGCACAAGGAGCCCTGTGTGTTCTTCTTCGGGGGTGACACCACAGGTGTGTTTTTAGCCCTTGTGTTTGTGCACTACACCAGTTGAACTACTGGTTCAAGGCCTTCTTCTTTGTTCTATATGCAGTCCTGTTTGCTGCTGCAGGCATTCAAAATGCTTCAAAGATGAAGGAGAAGGTGTAGTCATGGGGCATAGCGTTGTGTGCTTTTGCTGCTTGGACGTGTTCAGGTAGAGGAGGATCCTCGAACGATGTTTGGATCTATTCCTTGAAAACGAACAAATGGAAGCACGTTACTGCATTTGCAGGAAATGCGCCGGCTCCGCGTTTCGGGTGAGACAGTTTTTGACTCGTGTTTGCTCACGTGCTTGTTGGGGTATTGATCAGACCGTTTGATGCAGTACTGCTATTGATCTCTTCATCAATTTCCTTGTTGCTGTCTTCTGGCTAATAAATCGCAGGCATAGTTCGTGTGTCTTTGACTCAAACTGGGTCATCATCAGCGGCGGTTACAGCGGGGGCTGGATCTCCAATTACGTTCTCTCAGGTGTGTCTTTCAAATGTTCGTTCTATCAGCTAGAGGACATGCTGACTTTGTAAGGAGGAGCCTAGCCGAATCTTTGGTTGAGGATTTGTTTTGTCATGTTTCAATGCACTGCTTAGTCGATGTTGGGAAGGGAGAGAAGCGGATTGCCTAGAGGAAGAGCTGGGCTGGGGCAGTGCTACTGCGTTGTTGTGTTAATGTGAATGCCTTCCCGTGTGTGTATGTGATTGTTTCAGACATGCACACTTATGACTTGCAGGCGAACTGTTGGTTTAGTGTGGAGTTGTGCGGTATGAAGTCAACGACTTGCTTGACCCATTTGGTGTTGATATCACCGACTCGAACGGTTTTTTCTTTTGGTGCGCATGACCCAGAAACAGGCGTGGGACCGGTGTCCTCGGACGTTTACCGAATGTCTCCTTTGATTACTTATGTCAGCTTCGCTGCGCTGCGTAATCAAGTAGAAAGTATGAGTGAAGTCATAAACCTCAGCTTTGACTCGCAAAGCGAAGGCGTCGGCAGAGCCATTCGCAAAGTGGATGCGCTGATGAAGCGGCTTGAAACGGTAGAGAAGGAAATCGAAGGACTCAGGAATGCCAATGAATATCTCACCAGACAGCTTGAAGCAGTTCAAGGGTCTCACCAAAAGAGAATGGATGGGGAAGGTAAGCACTCGTGGAGTTTCCTTTTAATGAGTACCAACAACCCCTAGGGGGCTGCGATTCATCTTCCCTAGCTCTGGCTCGTCAGAAACAACAGAAAGCTCAGTAGCAGTATACATTGCAGTGTATCTCCGTTGGAAACAAGGCGAGCGAACAGCGAAAGGAGGGAATAATGTGGTTCGTTCTGTTGGTGTGTATGTGCTTTTTTCAGATGAGGACGACGAAGAAGAGGCGGACTTTCAGGTCAACGACGACAGATGAATCCAGTAGTTTCAAGGTGCAAATGTTTTTGCCACTATAATCCTCTCCGGCACATATTGCGTTTCTTTTGGCCACTGGTGGCTCGTAGAAGCTTGACCACGTGCGTGTATGAAGGCAAGCAGCTAAATAGTTGCAACGCACGCGTGTGTGCTTGCGCATACGAAGGCGCACCTTACTTACCCTTTCGGCTGTCGTATTGAGGAGAGGGATTGGAGAAGAAAAAGCAGAGCAGATAAACGCAAAACCCTGTCTTCTTGTCATTTAGTCATCTGCATCCCGCGTATGCTTCGATACATGCGTGCGCATTAGTGCATGCATGCTGTGAATGAAAGTGCCTGCTTGTCTTTACACTTTGGGGGGACGAAATAGCAGGCCAGCTGTAACGCATATGAACAAATCAGGAAGCAACCGGTGATGGGATTGACACCAGAGGCCTCCCATGCACAACAGGCACTTCGCTGCTGCTTCTGTCTGACGCTCAAGAGAATCTGTTGTCTGTTGGAAGCAAAGGCGAGATGCACGCAATGACGGGTGTGGTGAAGCTTCCAGCAGCAAATTGCCTTTTAGGAAATCCGGTCAGGACCTGATGAATTCAAGCCTCCTTCTACACGCCTTTGCTCCTACGCATGGTAGACAGCAGATGCGTGTGGCTATTCTTAAGTGTGACCCCTTGACTGCTGAACTGTAGCTGCAGCGTGTTTTTTTACTTGGCAGGTGCCGCAGTGCTCTGGGGATAGCAGCGGGCTGTTGCATGCATCTGGCTTGCTTGGGGGCAAATGAGTTAGTTGTTGCTCTTCATAGACCCTCTGCATCATCTATGTATCCGCCGCCAGCCCATTTTGAAGACTTTCACAGAGTTGAGACAGATATGGTAAATGCCGTTTAAATGTGTGCACGTGGGAAAAAGCAGGACGTCAAATGGCCATCTGATATTCACCAAAAAATGGAGTGTAAACTGAACTTTTTCCACGTTTGTCAATTGTTAAGAGATCCGGCTGCACCGCTATTCAGGGACAAATTCATTGGAGTCTGAATTCTTTAAACTTCATTGCAGTTATTCAGTGGGTATTAGTCTGCCATATGGTGCGTTCATTAGAATGGGGTAGCCTAGTTTACTTGCAATCAACGAATGATATATGCCTATCGAACACAAGTAACAAAGAACAACCAATCGCCGCAAAGAGAGATGAAGAGAAACAGCTTGTTTTAAGCCCTGCTCGTGACCCTGTCTCGCGCCTACTCAGGATGGACGAGGGAATTGGGGAGTAAATTGACAAAAGCACACAGGTGGAATGAAAATCTACTTCTGCAAAAAGGTACTCCCGCTGCTGTACCGGTGGGCGACTGCATTTATTTGCGAACTTTCAAACAGAAGGAAAATGCGATGACATATGATTGCAGGTGTAAATAAGATAAATGAAAAAAAATAAAAGAAAATTTTCCAATGCAAGCCGTCTCTATTACAGACATACACAGCAATTTCACAACGCAGCCCCGACTGGTGTTGTGCCATGCTGGTACTGGTAATGATGGAGAACCCGTTCGGGTCCATGCTGTTTTAATGTTCGAATCTGTTACAATACTTTTGTTTAAGTAAAACTGCTTGCATATTGCACTATATTTCCTGCTAACTGTGGCCCTGTGGTTTCTACGGCGCTGCATGCACGGACGTCGCATGCGTGGCTCGATTACCTTCTTCTTAAAATCGATCTGCTGTGGAGTTTAGGACCTTTAAGAATTTGAATTTCATTCGAAATACTATCATCGGACAAAGAAGCCCCTGAATTCGTGAATACTAGTTTTGCAGCTGCCTGGGAGATGACGGCGACCCCCAATGCAAAGGCCCAGAAGTTAGCGAGCTCAGTTGAGGAACTATGTGTGCCGTTGGGGGAGGCTTCTTTCTGCCGTTCGATTGTCATGCAGGACATGCAGCAGTTAGATGACTGTGTGGAGTTTCTCGTGCTGAGTCACAAAGTGAAGGGCGATGCGGCTTTCTCCTCGGGCCCCCCCCGTCTCAAATATGAATCCCCTGGTAAGCTGGCGACAACGGGTGGAACCTGCGGTGATATCGAAAAGGAAACAGAAGGTATATTCAGCCAGTCGTCTCTTGGCGATTCTGCTGCTGTTGCTACTGCCGCACATGGCCACTGCACTGTTACATCCAAGGAGGGCCTCAGCTTCGACTGGTTGGTTGCGTTGGGGTGTCTGAACTGTGGAGCACCCGTGGAGCTACGACGGGACCTCGTAGCAGCAGCAGAAGAAGCGACAACAGCAGCTGCTGCAGCTGCCACGGGCGGTGGGACTGCCGCTCTGGCTTTGGCAGCAGAGAAGGCAGTGCTAAGGTGTCGTCGTTGCGGCCATCATATCGCGCCTCTCCATTCTTCAGATGAACCGGAATCTCTTGTAGAAGCAATGGAGTCCGGTGCTTATCTCAATCCAGGACTTTCTTCTCGGGGGATTTATATGTACGGAAGCCGCAGCTGCTACAACTTTGGATCGGTTAGCAAGAAGGCGTGGCAGCAGCGGTTCTTGGGGGCTGAGTTTGAGCGGCAGCAGCTGCAGCACCACCTTAAGATAATGCTTGCTGCAGGGGACGGAGGTAACAAAACTACTTGCAAAGAGCTCTGCGAACGCTGCGGACACACTGAAGCTTTCTTCTCGACATTCCAAGCTCGAAGCGCAGACGAGGGGATGACGGTGATGTACGAATGCACCAAATGTCATCACCGAAAAGTATTCAACAACTGAACACACACACATACACACACACACACACACACACACACAATCTCTATCTATCTATCTATCTTTCTAGTTAACTAGCTAGCTAGGTAGTGTTTTCTGTCATGGGGTTTGTAGGCGTGAATCGCAGTTCAAACTGTTCCTAGTTTTTTTTGACAACCCGTACACACTTTTTGTGTACGCATACAGCAAACAAATATATATGTTGGCAACCTTACAAACTTTTTGTTTACGCATACAGCAAACAAATATAAAAGTTGACAACTCTACCTATATATATTTAAATGTTTTACATATTATATATACGCAAAGGCGCACACATGCCGGAGACAATATGTACCCCAGCCGAAGCCATCACCCACCTCATCCTCAATAGCTAAACAAATGAATGTTTTCAACGCTGGGAACTTACTGCACCTTCTGTAAACCATGTGCAGCTGTTGTGTAGCTTGGGGTGGCCGCGAGCTTCGCCATGGCTACTCCTGGCATGCCTGTGCACCTTAAATGCTTGACGGAGTACTAAGCATGTTTCTACAGGAGTCAAACGAACATCAGAAAGGACCAGAGTCTTCTGCGGAATTGGTTTTGGATGGGCCGGTGTTCGATATAGTCCTTCGGTACTATTTTAAAATCTCATTTGTAAGACCCAAAACCTTAACTGGATATTATGTACTGCTTCGGTTCGAGGGGTTCTCAATAGAATTGTTTATTGATGGTATTACATTGATGCTCGCCCACATAATTGCCTTTTGCCCGGTATGCTGATGTGAGCTATACGACCTTATGGTCACTGAGGAGACCTGCAGACTGATGTGTAGTGTAAAGTCAAATGACCTCCAGACCTATGGGAGCCGAATTACTACAGTGATACGCGCGCTGAATGTTGAAGGGGGTGCATACTTCGATGACCACTAAACTAGTTTAGCGCACAACACTGCTCCTATTGTTCCTACTAGAGATGAAAAACCAGCAGATGCATTTTCGACTTCAGCAGATTACCGACGTTCATCAACGTGTACTGGGAAACGTCACAGCTGGTTCAGGTGTGTCCGCTGCACTTTTATCTAGAGTTGCATTCACAATGTACTGAGCCGCATGCCTTTACAACTAAATTATTGACAGAAAAGTACAACTGGTGATTAACAACGGTAATAGGTTTATATTCTTAGGACCTTCGACGAATCTTTCTCAACAGAATCGACAGGGGGCCCCCCGGATGATGGGGCCCCTGCAAGCATCTGTAGATGCATTGCTTCAATTCATATTGGCGGATAAGTTGATCACCTGTCTAGAAATTCCTTGCTCTATTTGTGATTTTGACCTTTTAATAGTGGCTGTTGGGTACTCAGCCGCTTTTCCTCATCCAATGCTCCGTAGCCAGAGGCCATTCCACTGGGGGATCAGTTTCCTACGAGTTTCCAGCAACACATCCAGTGTCTGCCTGCAAATACCTTTTTCTACTCATTTTGCCAGCTTTTCTATTGTGAATAATGATACGATCAGTGCTCTTTGCCATTGGGGGAAGCTGATACATTTCGAGGGACCAAGATTCCCCTGCTCAGTTTGCAACGACGTATCACGTGATTCCAGTTGCGCTAGAAGCTACTCTTCAAAACTCATCCCAGAAGACCCCTTTGAATTGTACAAGGAGAAGATTAGCCTGTTGCACAGGAGACAAGCCTCCTTGACTAACATGTTTTCACAAACAAAGACAACACTTACTGCTGTTTCATCAACCCCTGCCACGTCACTACCTTTTTCTGACATGCAAGCGGCCTCAAATCCCCGCGAAATAGAGGAGGAAATCATTATTGATGACTCAAACACAGACAGCCCCACAGAGAAAGACGGGAAAACGAATTCTAAGCGAAAGAGCAGTTTTATGGCTTCACATGTCAAAGTCGCGAAGAGAGCATCCGCAAAGACGAATGTTTTTCCTTACTTCTCCTCTGTCCCTTCTTCTTCCTCCCCGTCCACGTCTGAATCGTTCCGCAGCTCTGTGTTGGAGTTTGGCCCCGTGAAGGCTCTTGACCCGATTCCCGTATCGTTTCTCACTTGGAATATCAACGGATTGCTCCCTCGCATTCGCGCCTCTCAGTGGACACAATTTGCAGACTACGTAAAGGAGGCAAAGCCCGTAAGGGACTGGAAGAATAAACTGTCTCTGCTTATTAAAAAGTATTATGGGAAGTAAGCTGTTTCTAAATGGGATCACTGAAACCCGCAACAGTTGTCATATTGTCTCCTATATTTGTCTCCCTCAGGATGTTATCTGTTTGCAAGAGATCCGCCTGCCTGCTTTCGGCCCTGCAGGTGCGTGTGTAATCTTACTAAATGTTCGAAAATGTAAGGTTTCAACTCTGCAAGACACCTTAAAACGTGCAGGCGGTAACATGCAGTGTACAGACACACCAGCATTATCTGCTTGTGAAACAGGATGCCGGAAGAACGACGGGGAGCCGCGAGATCGAGGAGCTGTTCGAGTAGAACTTGCAGCAGCAGCGTCAGCAGCGGAGAGGAAAGAAGTGCAGACGATTGCCTGTGCCCTTCGTGAAGCTGTGAAAGCTCTGCCTGACTATCGCATCTTGATGTCTCTAGCTGACTGGAAATACAGCGGTATCAATAAAAGCGTTTTAAAGTTGCTCAGATTGCTTTGCGTACATTAAGTGCCGTTTGATGCTGTATGATGCTCTTGTAGGTGTGCTGCATTGCGATGGCTTGCAGGACAGTTTTTGCTCCTGAGGAAACACTTGCGGGTCAGCAAAATCCTTGCGTGACTTGCTTATTGTTTTTGGCGCACTTGTTTACCCTAACCGTTGTAGCAAGGGTGAAGGGCGCCCCAGTTGATTGAAGTGTGTGCTTGAGCATTATGCATAATCTGTTTTTATTTTTTATTTGTTTACTAACAGTACTTATTAGTTTTTACGGTTTGGTTGTATCTGTCGCTAGGTGGAGTCCATTCGTTATAATCTGAACGAGGAGGACCCGAGTGTTCACCACACGGTGATGCTGCAGAACACCCTCAACGTCTTCTGGTTCTAATTAAAGCATGTAGCTTCGTTCCTTGATTCTAGTTAAAGCATGCGACCCCCTTCTATGGCTTTATGCGTAACGTTAAACAGCTTTCCCGGCTCTTAGTCAGGTTTCTACCATAACGTAGATTCAGGCTGGTGCTGAGTCGCCCGCTATATTGCCTGAAAAGGAGGGGAACTGCGTGTGCTGTTGCTGCATTTATTTCCAACAGGCAGATGCAAAATTCCCCCACACTGCCATGGCAAATGCACGTTGTTCTGCTGCAACTACAGCAGTAGCTGCAGCTCGCCCCTAGTTGCATGGGGACCAGCGTGCATGTGTTGTCTTTGCAGGAGGGTCGGGTCATAGTGGCTGATTTTGGTCGTTTTTCTTTCCTGACAACGTAGGTGCAGAATACATTCTGTAGTACTTTTATGCACTTCCGTCTAGCAGTTAAATGCCTGCCACTGGCCAAGTTGTCGCCTCCATTTCACTTTCTGTGTTGGACAATATTAATTTATAAATCATCCACAACTAATTAATAATTGGTATCTAACATCAGTTTGTAAACAAGCGCCAAATTAGCTTTTTTTTTCGCCGTTTCCAGATACTCCCCGAACAATGGATGGGCAGAAGGCAGTTTCCAACGGAGGAGGAAGTGGGACGAGGCTCTCCTCAAGTTTGTGCAGCGCAGTGAGGGGCCCACCCAAAGTATCCAACTAATAAGTTGGGTAGTTTGAAACTGGTGTACAGTCGACGCAGATTGTGTGCATTGTTTGATTTTTTCTTCTCATTTCGTACTCAACTACTGTTGTTCCGTGAGAGGTGCAATATCCCAGTGCATTCATATTGTATATGTGCAGGATACATGATGCTTTCATTATTGTAATATATTGCAGGTATTATATGCGATGCTTAAAATTTGCATTTTGCTCTATGTGGGGGTGGCGAAATCTGTCTTTGTGGGAACGGAAGTATCATGGTTTGTTGGTTAAACGGGAGGCAGCATCTTGTAATTGCACTATGTTACAATCGGCGTTCTTTCTCTCGAGCTTCTTTTCACAAGACGACTGCCATAAGTATTGACTGTGCTGCATCCCACTACTCGCGCCTGCTGTTGCGTGGGTAGGCCTTAGAGCTTTAGCCACTTAATCTTCCGCCGTTACCGCATATGTGTTGTGTCTGTTAGAGAAAAAGCCACTGATTTGGATGGGGGATGTTAACTGGTGAGAGACTCCAGTGAGCATTCTTGAGGTTTCCCATTAGCTTGCCGCTTTGGTGTCTTCTCACTGTACACTCTATTAATACTGTTGCTTATTTAAACTCTGCATTTAGCAGCCGTGATTGCAGTCCTTTATTTGTAAGCCTACCAATGCACCTGAGGTTCGCTGCTTGCGAGGTCAGATGCCGTGAGTGAATTTCTTGCCTGCATCGTAGCTCTCCTCCTCTGTCTGTTATTTTGTGTTAGCATTCGCCCTTTTTTCTGTTTGCTATATGATTTGGATTTGCCGTGCGGCGCAGTGCTCCAACGGACGCGGATTTGTCTCACCCAAAGATATTTAGAAGTGCGCACCAGCCTAGTCCCAACCTCCGTCCAGTAAGAGGAGCCTCCTAATTCTCTGTCCCTCTCTCTATGTATATGTATGTATATGCACACCTATGTACGTTCATCTATGCTGCGTGCGTGGCATGTATATCGGTACTGGGCTGCCCCACTTAAGGCTGCTGTCTTTTAATGGAAGTAAGCAAAGGTTGCCTTTAATTTAACCGAATATTTGTTCTTTTGTTCATATGTTTTGTGTCCGCGTCAAAGGAAGATGTAGGCCAGCCAGGCTGCACAGACGCGGAACGAAATCGGCTTCAAAGCATTTTGGAAGAGGGGTCAGCAGTTGTTGCCCGTTGGGGAAAACCAAGCAAATGAGAAAATCAAACAACATGTCAAGAAACTCAATAAAGGAACTGAAAATGGAGCACCTTCTTCTACTAAAAATCCCATTTTCTGAACCAGTTTTTAGCACTGCATGTAGCGGCGTCTGGACCTTCCCTGCTGCATTTAGATGCTGTAACCGTTATAGTGTCTCTTCTGGTGCGTGCAGAAGACTCGTGGATGTGTACCGACAGCGAAACCCCAGAACCACTCCAGCACCTGTGCAGGACCCTGCATACACTTGGCGCGGTACGGTGTATGCTACTTAAAAAATCGTTGCAAAAGCGGCTACGTCTTTTGCTCCTATGAGTGTGATACTATCTGGTAAAGTCGCCTGCTAAGACAAAATCAATAGACAGACAAGCACGAAGATTATTCGGTGGTGTCACCCAAGGCTGTTATTGTAATGTTGCAAACAGGATACAGTGAAGACAGAAGCCCGTCCAGCGCACGTGCCATGCGGCTTGATCATGCTGTGAGTGGAACACATAACTCTCTGCATGCGTCATGCATATTGTATGTGCTTAATGTATAATATCTATATTATATACACTATACGATGCACAACATATTTGCAAGTAGAATGCACAAAATGGACGGACACAGATAGTACACATGCACATTGATCTTGTTTCTGTACAAGATCCAGCAGCGTGTGCTGAAGGCTTAGTTGCAGCAAATTGGAGTTTGCCTTTTCAGTTCGTTAGCGAGGAGCTGCTGCCGTCTGTGGCTTCAGTTGAAATCGTCGGAAGGGCATTTCCTAGGGTGAGTAGTAGTTGTATTCTATTGCTGTTTTAGTTCCAGCGTGTCTCCTGCTGCTCCACGCTTGCACAGTGCAGTGACAGTATGTTATGCAACGCTGAAATCTTGGTACCATCGCAGATACATTAATTCATACATGCAGACATGTTCTGAACTGAGGCAGGCTTTGTGGTTTTCTGCACTGCAGAGGCGGTTCTTCGGCTCCGACCACTGTCCTGTGTTGCTGCGGCTTTCTGAAACGGCGTTGCGTTCACTGTATTCCGCCAGGTAAACACCATTACGCATTATTGGGAGGGAACCTTGTGTATTGAAAGTAGAAGTGCATTCACAGCTTCAGACTATTGCAACGCGCGTGTTTGCGTACGTGAATTAACTATGTCAATACGCGGGAGGGTGCGTACAAATTGATGTTCTTCGCTAGCAAGGAGGCGTGTGAAGTTCGTTGTGAAAGGAACGGTACAAAGAAGCGAGTGAGCTGCGTTTATGCTATCGGAAGAGACGTCGGTCATACACAATCTATATTTTCTCTCTGATTAATAGATTTTTGGGAAAACGACCTAAAGTTCGTGGGGAGGCTATGAGTACATGTGACCTTCATGATGGTGGCGAAGGAAAAAATTCCATCGGGCGAATACACCTGACCGCTAGCAGAGTCTCTGCTACGATCTTTTTCCTTCGTCATATTCACCATTTTTAGTGGGCAACTCGAAATTCTAGACTTTGAGAGATTTTAACATGAAGATATTGGGGGTACTTCTGCGTCTTTGGTGCTCCCATTCAATGACGTATTTCCTCTTCTTGAGAAAGTTTACTGAGGGAACCGTTTTTCTTCTGCAATTACAACGGCCTCCCCTCTTGCATTATTGCAAAAATGAGTACAGAACTGAAGTGGTTAGTGGCAGTTTAGTCGCAGTTGCCCACCTACATTTCACGGCTGTCTGCTCAGCTCAGGAAATTCCACACTGAATCTGCATGGTATATCATTTCTACTCGAGCAATACTTCATGGGAACAGACGTCGTGCGCTACATATAATCGTCTAATATTTCGAATAACTCAATGGGCGGCGTTCTTATTTGCTGTTTTTCCGAGAGGAAGATTTGCAGGTTCCCGTGTACACACCACGGGCATGGGCAGGTGTTTCAGTATGCCGTCGAACTCTACCCAGGTGTTTCAGTATGCCGTCGAACTCTACCATTTATATTTTTTCTTGCTTTTGCACCGAGAACGTTTAGTAGGAAACATGGGGATGGTTTTTCTCTTTTTTGTGCTCTACAATTACGGGTTGCAGACAACTGAGGGCTTTCTGGGTGGCTTGGCTCGGACGGTAGCCACAAATGCTCTAGCAGGTGGCCTTGCTGCTGCAACAGGTGCCCAGCAGCAACTGCAGCAACAGCAAACCTCTTTTGCAGCCGCAGCTGGAGCAGCACCCCCAACAGCGCAACCAGCAGCAGCAGGTGAATGCAAATAGTTTGTTCATAGAGTAACGCAGTAATCGTAGGCTTCATACAAACCCCCACAACACAGGCAACGAGAACAACCCCCTTGCAAATTCTGCTGGTACCGATGCGTTCCTGTACTGACTAACTCGAAATGATACAACCGATCCACTTCCTTTTGCAGCAACAAAACTGGAGAGCGTCTCTAAAGGTATTATTGTCTTCGGCCAAACGTCGCTCAGGATAACAAGCGTGATGCGCATTGTGCGAATCGCGATAACCGATAGACCTGCGGAATGCACTTGAGGCAAACCCATTCTTCAAGCTCGCGGGGCTAGGCATGCAAATTCGAGAACTCGCAGCAGCAAACCCAGGTTAGGTGACATTGCTTTGAATTAAGTTCATTGTTATAGGCGATGCATCATTGCAATCAACCATACACCATAATATTGGGCCGAATGCATGCGTGCATGAATAAAACACGAGAAAACAATCATGCACGAACTGCAGAGGCATTAAAAGGAGCAGGGGTTTATATGGTATATGCCCCTACGCCGGGGGAGGACGAGTAAGGGGAGCCCTGTGTAGTTTCGATTGTACTGCAATGATAATCGTATGCATTCCAATCACATACTGATGTTTGAACCTGCAGCGACCCCAAGAAGAAAGCAGCAGCACAGGGCGTGCTGGATATTGCAATGGGAATCGACAGTCCAGCAGGTCGGCCGTCTTGTCGTTTATTTGGTCTTTTGGCCACTACTTAAACTAAACATGCATCAGCAAGCCTTCAAAGGAAAAGCGAAAAGGTTTGTTGTTCGGCACCGTGCCTTCGATGCCAGTTTCATGCAGACCGAGCATACATTAATATCATTTTACATTAAAACAACATACAACCAATCATGCGGCTTTCCAGAAAGCAGAAAACGAACTCAGCGCAATGATGAGCCCAGCCAACCAGGAAGACCTTGAGAGGACGATGTCGCCTCAGGTGCGCACTACGAGTTTACTGATTAGCACATACTTATTAAACATAAATAACAATGCATCCTCTCACGCATGAGCTGAATATGACCGAGGAAGAATCTATAAGCGCAAATGTATTGTAAATACAATACATTTCACAAGTGAAAATATACAGTAAAAGAGAAATATAAGTAAACACGTGTTAGTATGAAACCTACTCATGGCGTAGTTAGTACGAATGCATATATGTCTATGTTGATTTCATGGTTTCGGTGTCACTGCGTATCTCTTGTTAAATGCTTTCGTTCGTAGGAACGCATGAATTATGACCAACAAAGGATCGCCCAACTTCGGCACGAAATCGGAATTCAGAGGAAGACAGTGGAAAGGGCCCGCGCGTTGATAGCGTGAGTTGGTGAATTGAAATAATAATGCAATAAGTAAAATCAAAACCAACGAACAACTTCTCACGAGAAATGCTCAGGAAAAAAGCGGCACGTAACGAACAGTAGTCAAGGACTGAGCATGCAGCTAAAGGCAAGGATGACGGAACAGGAAGTTTCGATCAAAATACGACAATTATTTTTAAACACACGATACGTCCACTTCGCCAGACACATCGAAAAAGAGTAGCAGCAAATTGACTCTTCTCTCAAGTACTGGCATCCCGCACTCGCAAGCCTCGCAGTCGGCTTATTGCAAATCCAATCTGCATGCAAACACACGAAAGCCAAGAGCAGTTGAGCTGCATATTTCCATTACAAACCACTCCAAGATCACTGTTACATTCAATTCTTCTGTTCTGTGTGGTAAAAGTCATTTTGGGACAAATATATATGTCCGAGTTGCAATGTGCATTGCTATCACAGGCCTGTTCCGACACAGCCATGCTGCTCTGCAGCACTTTGAGTGTTTCGTGATTCTCTTCCCCTCCACATAGCATAAATAAGTACTTTACTTCGTACTTCAAGTTCTCGGGGAAGAGCCAGGTCGCCCTGGAATACAAGCACACCATATCACATGAGCAAACACATCAAAGAAAAAAAAAGCATATTCAGCCAATTAGGCTAGCAAGTATGATCCAATGGGTCTGTAGTTTGGGTGTCTGTCAGGCACTGAAAGTGTAGAGCAGCTCCTCTTACCACTGGGTGATTCCACGTGCTCAGGCAATCCAGTAGAGGATACTTGACGCCTCCTGCGCACGTAAAGAAGAACCTCTACGTTCCAATGAAGCACACAGATGCCCACAAACATATATATGCGCATATATTACCTCGCTCCCTCTCTAGAGGCGGCTCCTCCACGCACCTGCTGCAGACCCTCGAAGGATCATTTGGTACTGTGTCTCTATCATCGTTTTCAGACTTCTGCGGATTTGCCAACAGACAGAGAGAAATGTGACAGAATGACACTTTTGTTTTTATTTCTGTATCTGTTGGTTTCCTTGTGTACTCGCTTGTGATGAGCGCCTAATGATTCAGCAGCACCAGCTGCCTACGCCACTTCCTGTTCATTATCGATGCTTCAGTGTGAACAAACACACTCAAAGCAGCATCTGCATGCAGTGGACATCAGCGTACTGCTCTCCCTCCCCCTTCAGTCTTTCGTAGTTCCTTGCGAGTTGTTGAAGAAAACAGGCAATGGCTCGTGTCTGAGATGCTTCAATCAACTGCTCAACTCCCGAAACATCAATAGTTGTAATGCCGTAGGAAATTGAGCGAGTGCCTCCCACCTTTACCTTCCCGTTAGGCCGAAGGCTGTCTATAAATAAATATATGTACATAGAGAATACACAACTCAGCACTATATATGATCTCATATCAGTTTGTTTTACGTGCATAATATCGAGCAACCAGCAACCGCCTGCACCCTAGAGAAGCACTCACGCGCAGCAACTGCTCGTTGACGAACTGATCCAAATGGTACATTCGCGTGGCTGAGAGGCGTCTGCAGCTGAACCTGCATGGCAGCCACGCACGCTAAACCGGTGCAAGGCCTAATGCCTGCCTAGCCCTATTCCCAACAACAAACACGTTGACAAAAACTTCATTAGGGGCTTGTTCCACTCTGTGCTAATATAGTTGCAGATATATACGGGAACAAATGTATAGAGTAGTAGCAGTATATATTAGCAATCCACGATGCGAGCTGAAGGCAGCCATGTACCACCTCTGCATTTACTATATGCCCTATACATGAGAATATGATCAGGTCAGGTAGCCTTTGCAGTATCCTTTCCAGCTTCGAAGCACCTGCAAACACTCACTGTGGCTGTGCTGCTGCTTGAGAATTTGCACGCGATTTCTTTCGCCCTTTTCGTCACGTTGAACGCTTCGTACTTGTCGAACTGAAGGACGATATCGGCGACCTCGAAGAAATCTCCGCTTCCGCCAATAACCATCACAGTAGATATCCCCAGTTCTGTGTACAGGCGCTTCACTCTGAACAAGAAAGGCGTTATGGGCTCCTTCTCCTTAGCTGCGAATCCAAAAGAAACCACATCACTAACAAAATCCCACGGTGTTGGGGCTGCAGCTGGAGAATGTACGCGTGAATGCCTGCTCGCATGCAAGGTGAGGCAATGCAGTGTGATACAAGGTAATGGGAGGGGCTTGCGTTCATGAATAATAGTTCGCGCTTACCCACGAGGGCCTGCATCCTTGCGTCTCTAATCATGAAGTTGGTTGCACAAGTATCTTCGTCAATAAGCAAAGCGGTTGCGCCGAACTCGAGAGCCTCCATTATGTTGGCGGCCTGTGATGTACTCCCCGACGCATCTTGAGAAGAAAATGAACTGGTGCTCTTTCCAAAGGGCAAGTTGCTGATAAAAGGCGATATGTCTATAAACCACCGACAAACGAATAAATAGGCAAACAAGCAGAGACGAACAGGTTAAGAATCATGGTCGAATTATCTCCCTCTGCACCAATTCATTGCAAATACATCAATTGTGTATTGCTAAAACTGAAGCCACTCAGAGCCCCGCCGCATTGCTTAAAAGGCCTACCCACTGAAGTGACGACTCGTCCGTCTTCTGCCCTTATCTGCACCAAGCAAAACGCTAATACTGGAAATATTAGTCGTAAACCGCATATTCATGAGACATTAAACAAACAAAATGCATGACAGACAACACATTGCAGTGACTCAAACTGGAAAATTCCCTGAGTGCAGCACTACCTCGAAACAGGAGGTTTGTTCTAGCCCTGTTATATATACGTAACACTTTATCATTTCTAATCACAGGCGTGCATTATATTTTGAGTATAGACAATTCATAGGTTGAAGAGACGTACAAACACACAGTTTCGACAGCAAGTGCAGCAAGTACAGTAGATAGCTGTGATATACCAGTTTCACCTGTAGATTGTCGTTAAGGAGCTGTACCACGATGTTAAGAATATGCACCATCCCAAACGTATACACAAAAAATTTTGCCCACAAAATTACCTTAACCGCATTGGGTTCCGTGATAACAAATTCCCTGCCGTCTCCTGGTATTTTGTTGTACACCCCAACTTGCAACGCCTCCAGCATTGTCGACTTTCCGTGGAATCCGCCGCCCACAATTAAAGTAATACCCCTCGGAATCCCCATGCCTCTTACTACAGTCAACGCAAGAGCAAGTTCCCCCGTAGAAGCTGGGGCTTTTAATCGCGATCAAACTCACTTGGGTTTAAGGTTTTGGGGTTCAGTGATTTAAGCAATTCATAGTGCCTAAGCAGCGTGCCTACCGATTTGTTGCTGCTAAAGGAAGGGATGGCAACCTGCTTCGGGGGATTAGAAATGTAAGCAGGCGTCGCAGAGTTGAAGCAATCAGAGCCAAGGGTTTAGGATTCATGGCTAGATCACCTGCTCCAGCATTAGGGAGGATGAATTCGCACTCCAAATCCTCTGGCGACTTAAACAAAACCAAATTGGGTTCCTGGAAGACATACACAACGAATTTGAAGCTGCGCAATGGCAAACATAACACCCCGGGAATACTACTGAATCATCCTCACAGCTGCAGGAGCGGCATCTTTAGCAGCTTCTGAACTTGGAGCAGTAACCGCTTGTCGGCTCACTTGCTCCTTTGTCATTGGCGCATCATCGACGCCGCTTCGGCGGGGCAAACAGGAGCCGTTTGCAACAAAAGACGTCAGATTACGCTCTCGCAGTTGGGAGCGGAGAGCTGCAGCAAACATGCAATCGTCGAGCTCAACATGCATGCATGTGTGCATGCCTGGATGCACGCAGCAGCAGGCGCATGACCCAACGGGCATGTAACATATTACAGCGGCAACAGCCCACTGCAGCAGCACGCGCAGCTGTAGCAAGGATGGCGATGCACGCTTGCAGTTCATACCGTCTTGGTCTTCAACGCACTCCACATGCTGCTGCACTGCGGCAGGGTTTAGGCTGCTGTAGCACATGACGTGACGAACCAACTCAGGTAATTTGCTGCAAAGGAGACTCGCTGCTCTCCTTCCCTCGATTCGCCTCCCCCTTGCCTGTGGCGAAGGCAACAATAAACAGTCGCAGCTCGCAAACATCTAACCCATGGGCAACAGCGCATCTAGCTTCAACACCTGCTGGCGCTGCTGGTTTATCATCCCACTGCCACTTGCATCAAGCAGCACCAAAGAGAATCAGTGGTCCAGACGCCTTACAGGCAGACCAATGGTGCAGCGCGCCTCAACGTATTCCGCAGTAATCACAAACGAACTCCGCGGCAACACGAATTGCCCTGGTCTGTCGATACGAATCATGTCAGGCTGCATAACGAGAGCCCGCAGCACAATTCAAAGTGAATATATTCGTGCATACAAACAGAAAAAAAAGAGGAGCAGCGTGATCGGTAGTGGATGGATGCTTGCGTGCAGAAAACAAAAAACAGCAGCATGATTCAGAGTGCCATAGATACTTTGAGAATGTAACTTTACAAGTATGCGGCAGAAACCCGTATGTCCCAAGGAACAGTAGAAGCAAAGAACGGCACCCGTCACAAAAGCGGGGGAAGAGAGCTGTGTCAGCGGCGAAGCAGCATAGATGCACTCGTGAATGCTGATGACAGTGCACTTTGACTCCATACACATGCACCCCACTATATTAACCGGCAGCTATTAACACTATCCTCCTAAAGAACACAATCATTTGCTGCCTCTCCAAAGTATAAAAGCCAAATGGTCTAACTTTGCTGTCGTGCCAGCCCCCCTGATGGCTGCCTTCGTCGGAACCCCAAATGCCACCCCTAGAAATCGCTTCACAGAACTTCCGAGTCAGAAAATCGCACAGGGCGACGTTTCGAATATAAGAAGAATACAAATGTGGGGGGAATCTGCTCACAAACCATACGAGCATTCGATATATGCACGACAACTGAAATTAACTGCTCTCTTTCCTGGTATGCATTTGGTGTTTTCTCTCCATAATATAGATATTGTGCCTATCTTTTTGTGATTCAGTGCTCACGCTTAAATGTCAAATGCATATATATTTTGCTCATCTTCAAGTACTGCGTGTATTGCGTGTTTTTTTATTTTTTGCGTTCATCTTTAAAAGATAAATGGAGTGTGGATGGCGGCATCAACAGCGCTAAACAGATAGTGCACGCACGTGCAGACATGCAGATATCAACGACAGAAGCAGTGTAAAGGACAGCCGCTCATGATGGCATGCGATTGCATGCATTTAAAGGTGCTTGCATAGTCGTGCTTTCGTCAAAGGATATGGGGCAGCCTGGCCCAAAACTCACTGGGCCCGGGACTGTGGAAGCCGTAGACGAAATCGACTAGGAGGGGCGAACGGATCGGACTGAACTCTGGTTGTGTATATACACCCAAACAAGACAAATAAACAAGCAGGCGAGCAAACAACAGAAAACGATGTCATACTGATGGTATTGCTCACACAGTATGCAGGCAGAAATGAAATTTCCATAAAAAGGCCAACAATTGCTACTGCTACAGCAAACCCAACCCGACCTCCGACAAACAGAAACAAAAACGACAGGCAGAGGCCCCTCAAGTTATAAATTACTTGTCTAGAAATAGCAAAAACTCGCAGACCTTCCAGCACCCGATGAGGTCCTTATACGCTCCATAGTTCTTGCCTTTGAAGAAACAAGGAACAGAAAACAGTGTGTCACTTAAACTACTCCAGTAGACAACCATCTGTTTTGGACGCTAGTCGTGCAGCCTGAAAACTCGTCGGTCTTCTTATGTTCATTCGATATCAAGGACTATAGCTGCAAATCAGCTTTTAGCAGTTTAAGAATCTTTTTGTGCGGACACATCACATCTCTCGCTCTGATTCTCACTATATATGCGTATTGTATATGTATGTATAAGAACACATTATATCATGGGGAAGTTGGTGGCGTTTCTATGAACAGTCACCTTCTAAGCCAATGAGGCACTTCGACAGATCCCGGTCATGCACAAGCGCCGACGAAGACGGGCCAGTCTGCACACAAACAAGGCATCGAATAACTGCTGCTGATGAACTCACATCCACCGAGCACATCTGGAAGCCGGATGCAGATAAATCGTAGCTGCAGACGCTGCACTGGATATTTTGCACCCGTGCATCCCTCCTACACTATCGTCTTCTTCTTCATGAAATGGCCTGCGTTCGGCGGTATAGTCTGGGCCACCCCCCCCTCCCGCCGAGCCAAAACCATGCGGGCCCCCTCCTCCAGCCGAGGCAAAACCATGAGGGGCCCCTCCTCCCGCAGAATGATGCTGTCTCCCACCTCTCCCTCTACCTGCAAAGGCCCAACACGAAGAGGTGCATGCACTACTTCTGCTTGATTCCCAATGGCCTGGAGCATACCCCACTTACGCTGTGATCTCCTACAAGCTGCCACAGCATGTGGCTATCATTCACTAGAAGCGGACTGTTTCTGAGGGATGTGGAACAAAGTGTGAGAGTCGCCTATGCAGCGGCTGCCTACCGCCGTATTTTGCCTTGTAATAGGCGCCACGGCCGCTCTGAACAAGAAAAATAAAGATGCAGGAACAGCAATACACCAGGGGCAAATCTCCACATTCAGGCGAAAAGCTACATAATTAATGCATGTGAAGTAATGCCTAAATGGACAGAGAGTGGTAAGTAATTGCTGTTTGGTAGTAAAGGATGTAAACCTTGCACACACCGCAACCCACCATCTTTGCCGATGAAGTCGCTCAGATCCGTGTCTTTGACCTCGAATTTCCTCAGCAATATCAAATTTAAAGGCAAATACACCACAAGCAGAAGAAGATTGATGGTAGAAATTATTGCTGGAACGCGTTCCTACTCTATTAGGTTGGAACTCCTACAGGAAACGGGAACGAAACGACTCTGCAAAAAGCTGATGAAACGCCACTCCAAGAAACACTTGCCCCTCCTAAGTTATTTTATTCTGTTTCCTCAATAAGATTCAATTCAAGGTGGAAACGAATCACTAGAAACTATTGTACAGAAAGCGCGGACGACCGTCGGCGAGCGTGCTGCATGCATCAACGCCACGGGAGAGCATCGAGCATTATCCCCTTTTGTGCTTCCCGTTGAGTCGAACTTCCCTTTCTTGTTAATCTCTATTTCGTCTAAAATGAAATGCGTAAACTAGAGTACCATGTTTTCGGGTTTTCCCGAAACTTTCAGCTCCCAGTAGGGCAAAACCACGGGAGGTCGAGGGCCCCAAGAACTCGAGTTTCTCTGTCTTCCCTTCGTCTGCGCAAACGCTTGCAGCAAAGAACACCAATGCGTTTCGGAGTCTATTGCACTTCTGTATTATCTTTTCGCCGCCACAGAAGGCCATTTGCCCCCCCAGCGTTTGCCTACTTTCTTGCACATTCTAGGCACACAAAAGAAGCTCTCAGGAGCGAATAGCGCAGCGGAGTCTATAGCGACCTGAGGAAGATTGACGCTTTCTATAATGCAGCAGCGGTAGATTGGGCTGTATCGTCATACTCGTCGTATGGCCATGGAGAGAACCCAGAAGAAATCGAAACGTCCGGCTGGGGTGGCAGCGGAAGTCAACTCCGACGGCGGTACGAGTGTCCATTATATATTTAGATATGTTTATGCCCCTGATCGATTCAAGCATCTTTCATGTTACCAAGAACCCTCTACGCCACAGAGGGTGAAGTTTGTGCCTAGGCTATATGCACGTCTTTCTGTTGCTCTCACGGGGTGCGTACGCAAGCGGGCGGTGTTATCTTAGCTTTTCTGGGTGTATCCAAACTCAGGAGGCCCTCGTATGCGTAAATATGTGCTCAGCATCATCTGCAAGGCCTCTTGAGGTGTCTATCAAGCAACTGCCGAGGTCACAGCAAGCCGCATCCCTCGTCGACATTCAAAACACGTTGCTGTGGTGCGCCAGGGCCTGTAGTGTATTCTAGGGTTGCATGCACCCGACCGATCCGCTCATTGGGTCACATGTGAAGGTAATTGGGTTATCTGGCCAACTGCCTTTACACCTGAAACCCTTTCTGCTGACGTCTGTGCAGCGTGAGTTCAGGGCAATTTTCACCACTTCTTGTTGCTTGCAGGCTCTGGAACCGACAGCACCAGCAACAGCAGCAACAACAAGAGGAGCAAGATGGGCCTGTTGCTGCTGGTGCTCCTCAAAAGCCTCCATGGTTAAATATCCACAACAGCCGCAACTTGGGTTCTGTATTGGTTGTCATGATTCCTTACTTAGACGCCAGCCTCTTGCGGACCTACTGCAACAGCAGCACCGGCGATCTCCTGCTGCCCCCCTGCAGCAGTATCCACACCACGACACCTTCGTCTGCAACGCAGCATGAGCAACAGCGCTGCTTTAGCAGAGTCAGGGCTGCCAGCGTTCTTAGCATGGCCGCACGGGAGAAGATTCGTGTGCGGCCTCCGATGATGGCTGTCTTCCCACACTGCGGCATCGTGCAGGTGACTTGATTTTTTCTGTGTTCTTTGTATTATTTGAATATGGAATGCAAGGAGGAGTTGTTTTGACTTGCATTTGCTGCTAGGAGTAGCATTGTTATTGAAATGAACGAAGAGGGCAGGACAGAGTCTGCGTGAAATGAACGAAGAGGGCAGTACAGAGTCTGCGTTCCGTAGAGGCTAAACGAATGTTAGTTTCTTTGCTGTGCTTGACTTGGTTCTGTTTAGGGTTTATTATTTGTCCCTTCGACCCCCACTTCCTTCAGAGGAACTCCACTTCGGAGTGGTCGCTGTTCTGCAGGTGCAGGTGCGCCAAACAGTGTTCATCCCCATCCGCTCGGCCGTTGCGGAAGCATGCATGCAAGCGAATGTGCTGTGCTGTGTGCGTTGTTGCACTTTAGAAGATGTGTCTCTCTCCAGGTATTTGCTGACTGAGGAGGAAATGAGCGCAAGAGGATTTCCTGGCTACGGTCTGTCTGCACTTCAAGTACAGTGCTGCTGCTGCTGCAGCTTCTGCTGTATTTGGTGATGCTGCTTTTGAAGCCATATTTTGTGGCGGCGTTTCTGGTGGTATTATGACAGTCTTAGCTGCCTGCAGTGCTCCACTGCAGAGGTTTTGAGTTTGTTTTGTTGTCATTGCTGCGTGTCGCCCCTGCTTCAGAGTTGGACTCTGTGGGGACTTATTTTAAGTATACGTCTTTAGAAGACGCCAAAAGCCGAGCTATTGAAGTGGGACACTTAACAGCCCAGTGTCTGGAGTGTGGCGTCTGCCGCCTCTAGGCTATGTGATTGTGTGTTCTTCTGCATTGGAAGTTGATACAGCAGTAACGCATTGTAAATGCATGCATACCACATGCTTTTATGTATATGTGGGTAGATGTCTGTGTGTGTGTGTTGGGGTGCATGTTCAGCCGAGGTTGAGTTTGCTGTTCGGTGTAGACTGTGAAATGGTGGAGACAAAGCACGGAAAGGAATTGGGCCGTGTGTGCATCGTCGACAGGGACCTACGCGTTTTGATTGACGAGTTGGTGCAGCCATCCGCTCCTGTCCTAGACTACCTAACGCAATATTCGGGATTGACAGAAAAAAAGATGCAGCAGGCGACGCTGTCTCTGCGGGACGTGCACGCGATGATGAGCCGGCTGCTGCCTCCTGGGTTTATTCTGGTGGGCCATTCGCTGGAGTATGACTTGCGCGCTCTTCGGCTTGTGCACTCGCGGTGTATAGACACCTCTCTGCTGTACCCACACCCGCGCGTGGGTTTGAGTTTCTCTCTGAAGCGGCTAGTACAAGTGTATTTGAAGAGAGAGATGAAGAGAGTCCATGGACACGACCCTCAGGAAGATGCTCAAATGGCACTGCTGCTGGCACTCAAAAAGATAGACAATGGCCCTGGGTTCGCAGTGCCAAACACGCGATTTGCACAGCTCGCTTCTGTCATGCATACTAGGTTGAAAAACAATGGAAATGCAGCAGTTGGAGAAACACCAATCAAGAGAAAGGTACCAGGCAATGTGGAAGAAGGGGAAAGTACACAAGGAATGGAAGAAACTGAAAAGATCAATCAAGAAGAACGCTGCTGCTGCAACAATGCATTCTTCCTAGTCGATTCGTTTCAGCACAAAGGCATCGCTGCTTCTGAAGTAATTACAAAACTGCACTAATTCTCAACCGTTATGCATACATCGGAAAGCATTTACACGAAGGATAATTTCGCTCAATATATTTAGGTTTTGATTGACGACACAACGGGAAGAAGTATGCCTATGCAGAGCACAGGCTGCTTGAAAGAAGCTGTTTCGCCTGTACTACCACACCCGAGTCTGTGATACACCTGGCTACGATGCCTTCTCTAGTGAATAAGATGGTGCATGTGCAGAGCAGTAGCACTGTTTGCTGCTGCTTTCGTTACTTTTTACATATTGGCAGGCGAAATGCAAGTGTAGGGCAGCCGTTGTAGGGTTTGCTGCTGCTGAGGTTGCGGCTGCTCCGTTTGCTCCTGCTATTTCTCAGAACGTATCTGTCATCGATGGTTTGCACGACGACAGCGCTGTGGTTAGCGCATGCAAGGAATTGTTGAAGGGCCGGCATGCCTCTTGCAGCTGCCGTTCAGATTCTTCTCAGGCCACATACGGCCCATCATGCAAACAACAGGCTGGAGGGGGTGGAAGGAATAAGCCGCTGTGGGGTGTATGCGTATTGAGGGGGCTTCAGCGACTCTGCAGTGGTGCGCTTCATACACCTGACGATCAGCTGTACGCGTTCAGACACCGGGCTCGCACTTTGTTGGCGGCCGAGAAGGCACTACTGAAGCAGCAGGTGCAGCTCCAGCAGAAAGGAACAGAAGGAGGAGGAGCAGCATCTGTTGCTTCTACTGTTTGCAGTACAGCAGCCACTGTGGCATCTGAAACACCAAATGAAGAAAACGAGGACACTAGAAGCCAAAGCGATGATCACTCAGACAACAAAGATGATGCAGCGGAGGCAGAAAGCTGCAGCATAAACCTGGTGCGAATCTGGGTGATGCAGAAATATACCACTTGTCAGCGTGTTCGCTGGCTATAATCACCTAGTTCTATTTTCTTCCCCGTCTTCTACGTTGGCCATGCAGCAGCAACTGTTGTGGGTTATCGGTTCCTTCTTTTGGCTGCATGCGCGATTGCCTCTCCTTGACATCTCTCTGTCTGTCTCTCTATCTCTCTCTCCCTCTCAAATGGCTTGTGCGTTCTTTCCCCTTTTAGGTTTTTGTGTTTCTGTTGGATGTTTAATTCATTTGCTTCGTTTTGGCGCGTTAGCTACAATGGTTTTTTATGTGTCGAAATTGTCTGTGTTCCTTCAGTGTCGGTGTGATTCCTGAGTTGGTTTTGGTTCTTTTGGTTTGTTTAGTATATCTGTGTTTCTACAATGGTTGGTGCTTGCTAATTGGATGCCGTTCTAAGGGAAAGTGTTTGTGTGTTTCAGGAGGATCCTTCGATAGCGGGCTGTATCCAAGGTTAGAGTGTTTGCATCCTTCTTGTTCCATTTGCAGCAGCAGAAATAAGCCGACCAGTTTTGTCTATTTAGATATGCACGCGGTTCTGCTCCAGTTTTATTCTCTTTCCGTTGTCATTATTGGAGGATTACCATTTCACTCTTGGTGTGATTTGTGCAAGCATTACAGTACAATATTATTAAGGTTGCTTGTATGCTTTCTTCCCTGTTCTGGTCCCACATGTGTATATTTGCTCTACTTGCTAACCCAATGACACACGCACTTTGCCGTTTCTGTGTTTTTGCAGAAACGCGGAGGGGCCTCAAACGCGACATTGGGGTCCTTTTTCCTACAGTTCAGCCGAAAGCGGCATTGGAGGCGACCACAGCCATTGACCATCTCCTAGCAGATATGTTTGCTACCATGCAGCCCCAGGACCTTCTTATTCTTCTATCGCCCTGCGGAGATGCACACCGGTCAGCTAGCAGATGTCTTTACACCCGGCACAGTCTGTACCCCACTCGTCCCCCACTTTTGGCTTTTAAATTTCTGGTTCTTATGTTGTTACTCCATCGATTTCGTATGTCGCCTCCGGCAGCAGTGATCTTTTGTTTTGCTACAGTTAACTCCGTAGTACTGCATTCCACCCACAAGTGGCTGTATGAGTATCTGCCAGTTAATTATGGCTGCCCCTCGTGCTGCTGGTGATGCTTCTGCTTCACATTCTTGCATACAGCGCTCCTTCAGATGGGTTTTTATGGAAACACCCATATATATATATATATATAT